CGACGAACATTTAATTAATAAAGTAGTTTATTTACTCTGCAATGTGTTACCTGTAGTCAGATTAAAGTTTAGTCAGTTGACATTTATGCTAATAAATTTACATGAAGGCCAGTGATGTAGGTCTACATAAAATCACACAAAGACATTTGAAAAATAATTCTATGCGTTCTCGATTCGAATATGACTTGAGCTAATAACAACTCTAAAATTTCAATTTTGTGCTAAAAGTAAAATGGTACAGATTAAGTACTTACAACTTTCTGATAATAGAAAACACAAATTTAAATAACATTTCGTAACCTAACAAAAATGCATAAAATCTATCAAACTTTTGTAAAATGTGGCTTCCAATGCTTGTTAAAGATAACGAAAATTAATTTTGCACGAAACATAAATTTTAAAATAGTGTTAATACTTATATTATAGCTACCGTTATTACTCAAATTTATTTTTTTATTATTGAAGCAACTTTTTTGAAGCACGATGTTTTATGCACAAATTATTATTCTAAGGTCTTATTTCCCAAGCGATATCAGACAGAGTACTCGTATGTGTTTGAAATTTTAGGTCGTCGGGATCGCAAAGATTTCACTGTGGTCTCATGGAATGTGACGCCGTGTTGCTTGTAGGTGAGACCTCACTTCTATATTGTAGTTGAAGGCGGCAGGTTCCTCAAAGACCTTAGCAGTCACCTATAAGATCACACGGCGTCACATCCCTTGAGACTACAACTGATTTAATTTATGTTGTCTTGCGTAACACTGTGCATTTTTACTTACATTTTACACTTAACTTTATGAAGATTAGATCTCAAAATCTTCCTCTACGTTCAATATATGCGAAAAGTTTCAGAATAGAATCTGATAGTATTTAAGTAAATAATTTTGAAATAAAGATGGTATGTCGTCTGGGATGATGCAGCGTGTAGTCTGGTACATACTGACCTACGTTTCAGAGGACGTTACTTCCACCATGAACAGGGCGATTACCAGATAAAACCATATAACATTCTAGAAGACAGCCACCTTCATAATTGTTGGCGTAAGAACGGAAATATTACCATTTTAAAATGAATGCGAATATTTAATTAATATCGTAGTCATGTTCGGTAGTCGTAAATAACGAAATACGATTTACGATTTAACCAATTCATATTTGAAAATTACTCTTAAACTGAAATCGAATAAGTAAAATTACAGTATAATATCAGTACACATATTAGGCAAGTAGAGTGCCCATTTAACGTTGAATTATTTAATTTAATAATTTCACAGCTTAAAAGCCACAAAGAAATGCAGAAAATCGCAGATAGCCATAGGCCTAATTTTTTTTTTAAATTGTGGTATGATATTATATTTTTAGTATAGTTTTTCCAAATGCATCGGATAAAATTTCAGTCAGTATATCAATAGACCTACACAGACTTGCCGTAATTTTAAAACTAGTCACAAAGATTGGTTTACAGTCCGCTTTATGACCTCACATATAGGAAAATGAAGGCTGCATTATTAGTTGAGGAAAAATATATAAATATGTTCCTCAACGCGTTATTTCTTTAATTTGCATCATGTATCTTCCTATGACTAGAAAACTTACCAGACTCTGTTGTGGAACAGTTTTCTTGAACAAATTATTATATTGGTGATTGTTGAACTCGGAAAAATGATATTCTGATATAAAAAGCAACTGAGCACAGAATAAAAATTTCTTCATATAGACGCTAGATCCTGGCAATTTTTTTCAAAACTGTAGGTTAAAAACTCACTCTATATAGATACGCTAAATAAATTTTCACTAATATATCATTTAGTAAATCAGAAAGCACCTACACTTGAGAATCGTTATAAATGTTGCTAAACTTCTCAACACCAAAATCATTAAGTTGTTAACACAAAATAATAAAATAATTTATGAAAGCCAATGTAGCAACCATACAAAAATTCAAAATCACCACGACTTAAAATTGCATATGGAGACTGCACTCAACTGAGATATTCGATTCCAGAAGGGGACAAATATGTGCTTTATAATTATTAGTATTAGCAAAAAGACGCATGCATTTTCACGGCTCATAATGGAACTAGCTGCAAGCGAGCTAATATTTCAATCTTCCCGCCTACTTATCTCTTGACCAGTCTCAAGACATCGAAATATCTGATCCACTATTGGCGAAATTGAAAAGGTACCATCTTATTCACTATGGCTGCAGTCTGCCTGGATAGAAAATTGCCAAGATGGCCACAAATTTAATGTAATACACCACGCCCCCTTCAACAGATTTTTGCAATGTTGATTCAAGTGGTCACCTCCCCTGCTTATAATTTCTTTTGCGTACTGAACGGGGGACAGTTGCATCTGTGCATTCCGCCCCTTCGAATTTGACATGCAAAAAGTGCCACTCCCCTTAGCAACTGTGTTATCTGGGTTGCATTATAATTTCAGCAAATTTAACGGTTTTGCATTTTGCCTCCTTTCAAAATATCCAATTACTTCTATATCAAGTTTAATTAAAGTGTGTAAAATTTCCTACTATGGACTAATTCAGATTCAACTATATAAAGATAATGTGCATATTTTATTTGTGGTCTAGATACATAGTAAGATCCTAACATTGCTTCTCAACTTTGGATGGCCCAGAGGTTTTAACTTGGTAATCTGCTATCACGTTCTTTATTCAAAGATAGTTGTCCACAATAAAAAAAACTTGAAAAGCTAGCCATTCTTTGCAGATTTTTTTTTGTTAAGTGTGGTCGTTGCTCCGCCTTGGATAAGACATTCGCTAGGGGTAGCAACCCTCGGTGCATCACCACGCCCTGCAACTTGCTTTGCAACATCATTACTGAGACGAATGCATGGCTGGTTCTGTTGCAGGCTTTATTAAACTGCAGTGACCTGACAGACAGCACGACATCACCGTTTCGAGAACATCTGTGCAAGTAAGTTTCTTTAAACCATATTACTTCTACTCTAAGCACATGCAAGCTCACAGAAGCCACACAAAATGCATATTTCTTAAAATATCGACCACATTTATTGCTGATATTATGAGTTTAATGAAACTTACTTGAGAGTACAGACTTTAACATAAAAAATATAAGTTGTTTACACGATTCTTATTGGAATACATAAGTCATGTTACATTCTTAACATTATTTGAGCATTCTTTTACGGTGATTTTTAGTTTTTGTTTGTGTAGAAATGACGTGCTTCACATAGAAAAAATTTTATTTCTACAACAACAGCAAACTTGCACATGAGTATCTTCTAATATTTTCTGTTACAAACGTACACTGTTGCTGTAACATTTTCATATTCACCAAACTTTACATTCCAGCAGTAATATAATTTCTTATTCGTAATAGTCTAAAACAGGGGCATTCTTTACAGTAACTGCTTCTCCACGTTGTTCTAGAACTCGCGATTAGAATAGAATAAAAAAACTAAGAACAACTGGAACTTAATATTTATAGTCTATAATGAGGACAAGAATTTATTTGAGCGATGAAAAAGTGGATAAATATAAATAGGCTCCAACATGTACACGTAAGAAAATTTGTCTTGTAGTAAATACAGATAAAATATAAATGTACATCTTTCGTCTACGGAATGCAGAAAAAACATCACAAATTAGCTAATAAAATTATCCGAAGTATGGCCAAGATCAAATATTTTGGAATGATAGTAACAAACAGAATTTAGGAGAAAACTAATACAAGATTAAACTATGACACTAGAAACTAATGTTAACACTTGAAATTTTCTTCCAGTTTTTCCTACAAAATTGTAGCGATTGAAACAAAGCAATATTTTACCTAATGTTTCGTATGGGTGTAAAATTTGGTGTCTCACCCTAAAATAAAACGTTGATTGAGGGTTTAAAAGAACAGGATACTGAAATGTGTAACTGTGTTATGGAACAGAAAAATTAGCAAGATACTGGAGAAAATTGGATAAGGAGTTGATTAGATATGAATGTTCTTTACCATTAGAGTGATAGGAACAAGGAGGATAAAATAGGATAAATGTACACGAAATTTTAGTCGTGAGTCCTGAAAAGTAGACACAAATCACTAGGGGTACTTGAGTGCATATGAGAGAATAATATTAAAATGTACCTCAGAAGAATACAGTTGAGGATTTGCATTAGATTCACGTCGCTTTTCTGAACAAAGTAACGAATCTTCGAGTTCCATAAAAGACGAAGTTATTGACTAGGAGCTGTCACACGGTTAGTTGTTCCATAGAAAATACTTCAATATGTAGAAATGACTATTTTTCCAAAACACTCCAAACACGATTTAAAAGGTGGATGCGATTAAATATACACGTAGATTATACATATGCCAATATTATAAATCGAATTACAGGATTCTTAAGCAAACCGTTTTCCTTTTTCGGAAATTATTGCCCTACTGAATGCATGCTCACTGATTAAATTATAGACATTCTACTATTGCTATTAATTAAATGACAGAAAATTCTTAAACATTTGCTTTAAATATAAACTTTTCTGGGTTGTAAAATTAACATCCTGATTCATTTTTCCCGTTTTCACGGATTCTGTACCTGTATTTATGTGTTGTTAGTTTCCTTATTCACATACAACATTCGAAATAACGTGTTTAAATTCAACGACTGAAACTTTTTAGAATTGCTTTTATTTCATCCGAATCGTTTATGTTATGGACAAGTACATAAATTCAGTTCCGAATACTGGTCATTAGTTTCATGTCAAAAAAACGCGAAGTATAAATGAGGCCTCGTGGTTTGATAGACTCAGGTTCAAATAATTCACCATGATACAGCACTATACAGTTTTCAATAAGAAGTACCGTTATTCATACAACTTTTTCAACATTACCATTTTCGAAACAATTTTAAGACTATAAAACTTCTGCAGTCGTTTGAAAATTAACTGAATATAATACAAGATTTGTAATAGCATTACTCAAATATATGTATATATAAATTCCAATTCCTAGCCTGTTTTTTTTCTGAATTACGTGTATTTTGTTACATTTCGGTCAGTGGTAAGATTCCAAACAGCTAAACCAGTAAAAAAAATGGTGATGTATGAATGTTAATAAAATGTACAGTATTTTTCATATTTTGTTCATCATATATACATAAACCTGTTGAAACAATGATTTACTTCATTTGATGATAAGGTGAGCTTGAATAACTGTAGAAATAATATTCCTAACTCAAACTTTGCATAATTATATCTTTCATGGAAGTGTATCTCATCATAAAATACTGAAAAAGTAATATTCTGCCTAATTGTAGTTGTTTCAAATTTACCATGCATAAAAGAATCTTTTTTTTTAAATTAACATCATATGATAGGCCTGTGGATTAACAGAAAGCTTTAACATTTATTGAAAAATAAATTAGGATTTTTATTAAATACAGTGTTCTTCAGAAGAACAAACATGTTATCGCAATAGGTTGCTGTATCTGGTGCTTTAGAATTTGTCTGTAAAATGGGTAACACATATGTTAATATTTTAATATCTGTAAATTACTGTGGAAGAATGGAGTTGGAAGGTTAACTGTCGTTAATTTTAGAATGTAGGTGCTTTTAGTATGCACTTAATTTTTCCCCAAAAATATTTCATACGATAATGAACATAAATAAATCTGTGGAATTTTAGATATTCACTGGGGTGAGTCCGAAGATAACTCTCTTCAGGGTTGTAACGCAAATGACCCCAATTCGTTGGTGAATTTCTACCAATCTATACGGCGCCACAACCCAGAAGACAACCATCTTCTTTCCTATGAATGAATCTGGCATGAACAATGCAATTTATTAAAGAAGTTTAATTAGCTAGCATAAGACGAATTTAGGTAGTACAATGTTTAGAGGTTACTGGAATTAGAATGCAGGACAATGATTTTAATTATAACAAATTATAATAACAGTCGATAGTCAAGAAACTACCACAGAACCCGAAAATTCATTATAATGGTGGTCATGTCTTTTAGGCCTGTAACGGAGCACCACAAAATCTCATACATAAGTTTTCTGTCAATGCAATAAAATTCGTTGCACGCCCATCACTTGAAAAGTATTGAAAACTGCCACTTAAATAAATAGTTACCAATTTATAAATTACGGCTTTAATTTCACGTTCGTATTTCTAAGCTTGGGGGAAACTGTTTCTGTTGCCCACTGTGGGACCTTGGTCTTTTCGGAGAATTTTTCTGCAAGTTTTTGAAAATTTTCTGGGAATTAGTAGAACGCCTTTGACGTTAATTTTTTCATAAGTACTACCACACATAAAATTCATGCTGTACGGTAAATAGAAAACTTGTACATATTAGATTATGTTGGAATGTCTTTTGATAACTGAAGTTTCTGTCATGCCTGTAAAGAAGTTAAATTTTACTTTCAGCATTTCGTTTGATAAGATCCAAGAGACCCCCCCCACACCAGCTATCAATATATTTATTTATTTGTTCTCAGTCACAAAAACATCACGTTCTTTTCATGGCGTCGACAGATGCTGGGCACGCGCAGATTGCACGGAATTAAAATATCATTGGTAAATATTTTACTTTTTTAACAAGCATATTGAGGTCATTCACTACCCACCAATTAACCGATAGCTCGTCTGTCTTTCCGAGGTGTTCCGCAACAAACTAATCTCTTGCCTCTGATCCGTAGTAAGCAACTTCAGATCTAACAGAAACCTGACTTTTCAACGAAATACTAGAATTCTTCTACTTATAGGATTTTGTAAATATTGCATTTAAAAATGTGTAAGAAATAAAATACTCATGACCAGTGATGATTACTATATTAGCCTATATATTCGTTGCCAGGCATCTAATTATTACTGGCTCGAAAACTTTTAGGCCTACAACGAATATCCAAAAGATTGTAAAATTTAGATACAGAAATAAACAGAGGTTCAAATGCAAATGATATTTTTACGTTCGTTGAAATAGCAGCATTGCACACAACAATGAGATCTCATAATAACTTTATATAAGGTTAAGAAAATAAGAAAAGAACACAAGAGGAAGGGGTCACGTTCACTGAATTCCAGATTATAAATTACCAGGAAAAGTTTTCAACCACAGATAAGGAGGAAAGCGTGATTTAGAATACAACTAATGAGATGACTTCAAGTTTGTGTGTTCTCGGATCGACCTCGGATCGGGTGTAATGTGCTTAATTCTCTTAAGGAGAGAAAGATATATAATTTGAAGAAACCTCACAAGTGTAATTTACATAGCGGAAATTTATAATTTTACAGTATATTTTATTACACTCATGGCCACAATTTTTTTTATTTATGATGAATTATATTTTTTAAGAAGCAGTCTGCTAAAATTGTCCAGTTTACAGTAAAGTTTAAGACTGTAATTTCAAGAACAGAAAGCAATTCACTGCCTTAAGTACGACGTACAGACGCAACATCCCTTAGATGAAAAAAGTGAGTACTGTATTTCTCTCTGAGCTCAGCCCAGTGCGGTCTTAACCTGACGGGGTAGGCCTAAAGTGTTCTGTAGCAGCGAGCTGGTCGCTCCGTGTTCATCCTGACTTCGCGGAGAAAAATGCATTCCTTTGCAACAGTGTCTCTACTCCGGACGAAGTGGTAAGGGTGTACCGTGTAACTAAGAAATATTTGCTTGGTTTAATAACGTACATGGAAGATACATACAATAAGGATCACATCCACCCTGTCCACTAAATTAACTACATCTTTCAAATTACATATTTTATTTTATTTTATTTTATTTTTGTGTTTACTAGTTGTTCTGTGCGGACATTCCCGAGGGAAGACCACTGATTGACGTACTTCAGAGCATCGCGTCGGAAAAACACTTTTGGACCTACCAGAACGAAGTAGTAAGAAGTTGAGAAAAATACGACACATAACGAGGAGCTGAAAAATTGTGTACATTATATATTATAATGATTATTAAATAAAGAAGGACACTGAGCCGAGGGAGACATGTAGTACGCTTATACAAAAACTGAATACATTAGAAATATTAGTCCAAAAGTCTGTGGACAGAGGTCATTTAGTGACCTCGACGAAGAAATTATAACGAAAAATGACATAAAAACTATGATATGTGTTGTGTGTGTAAAATATTTGTTTACATTTCTTAACTTTTAAGAAGACCGACTCATACCAGAATTTGACCTCGGTAACAACAGTCACTTTGACAATCGTTGTAAGTTTATTATGAATGATAATTAAGCTCAGTACCGGAACTGAAATCGTGAATGGTGCACATAAATATTGTGTTCTGTAACAACCTAAAATCTTGAAAGAGAATCGGACAATCAGTAGTACATATTTTGGCCAGATATGATGTTTTATCGAACTGGTATTTCATGTAATATATATTGATGTTAAACGTTTCCATATTAAACGAGAGGTCGGTACATGTATTACATTTGTGCAGCCGATGGGTTTATTAATCTCTAACAAAGAGTCTATATTACTCGTAGAAGGTAAAATATCCCTAATTAATATAACTATCTGTTGTTTCAGATTTTATGCCGAGAAGAAGCATCGGTGGAGATTTCGCGACTTCTCTACAAGCTTACGAATGGACACATCTCTTATACGTTATATAATATCAGTAAATGCATTAACTTTTGATGCAGCATAACATTTACCATTAAGACAGATATTAGGGATCTCAAATATTGAGGGACAAAGGTTTAACTAAAAAATTGGCCAGAACTGCATAAATAATTTTATTTCTTTTAGGAGTTTAGATAATAGTCACTAGTTTTTAATTCACTACTTTCGATTTGTTGTGTTTTGGTCACATACATTTCGAGATTTGTTTCTAACGGTCAGGCCTCAACATTGGTCAACAGAAACGTAGGGAACATAGGTTATTTAACTGAAGTGATAACAATTATTTTTGAGATGCTGACAGTCGTTCAGCTCGTCAAGAAACTGATAACCTTTTACGAAGACCTAACTGCCACTGGCGATTGCTGAACCTTCTGACAGCTAAAAAGTAAGGATAATCTATGCTAATTGGACATTATGAACGCGAATGAGCCATAATTTAGAAAATTATTTACAAGCTGCCTGAACTCCATATAGAGAAGGAGGCATTTAAAGGAAATATCTTATGTATAACTTATTTACATAATTTCTTACATTTGTATGTTACCAAAGTTCATTTTATGAAATAAGCTGATGTCACTGAGGCAAGCATGATAATAACAGAACCATTTCTTTCAAAAAGGTTTTCAATTCATAGTGGGTTTATGGTTTGTTCTAACGCGTAATAAAATTGTTTCCATGAACACCTCACAACACAAGTTCCGGTTAACATTTTTATCAATACTGTCTAGAACAGGCACATTTATAATACAAAGTAGTCGTTGGTATCATTTAATATTTTCATCGTTCTTTGATAATACAAAAATATTAACAACAAAATTATGAATAGTTTTCTTGCAGCTCAATTTTCGATAACACTTACTTTATAGTCATGTTGATTATTTAAATACTTTCACGCTTTCATTTATGTTTCACGTCGATGTGAATGACAACAATTTAAACAAATTACGGGAAGGAATCACATCTAATTAAACGTTTCTCTGGCTCGTACGTGCGTGCTGTATGTTCGTGTGTACTGGTGAACTGCCATGTCTTGTAGTTCGTTCTTAAGCTTTGATAAACTGATTAACTCTTACATTTAAAAGAAAAGAGATCTAATACGTTTACAAAAATCTTGTAATATATAAATCCATACGTATTTTGGGAAATATTATTCAAAAGTTATCACAATTCTGTTTATGTAAATTTTAACATGCAGAATTGTGACATGTTTGTCATTAATCTAAAAGATATTTGCTTATCTGTCTTTCATAATACTGTACCAGCACATTAATTTTTGAGATATCAAGTTAAATGTAATAGGAAACCACAAAGTCCGGTGAATTTGGTGGCTGCTGAATATCTATAATTTGCTTAGTGACATTCTGAATAGACTAAAGTGTAATGTGTGGTATTGATATCCATTACTGGATTACAGAATAGTAGTATGATAATCAACAAATCAGTTTTCAAGAACAAGGTAATGAAACAATAGCTACTCCCATTATAATAAAATGCATATGTGCGGTCTTTCACGTGTGCCATGTTTCCAGACAATCTGGCATTCTTTGATAACAAATATCTCTCTTATTACACTTTAAGGGAAATGCATAAATACACATAACTCAGTCAGCTCAACAATAAAACATCTGACTTGTATTTCGACGAACCAATGTTAAATGAACGACAAAACCCAGATATAATAAAAAATTTCGTACCGAAATCTAACAGCCAAACGAAAATGTGTCAAAATTGTATCGTTACTGGGAACCAAAATAAAACTTCAATGGCCTAAAATATACGTAAATTAATCTGCGAATTTCAAAATATCCGATAATTTCTTTATTTCAAAATTCGCATCCCTTTAATGTTATTGAGAGGATGAAAATTGGCCATGTTTACTGAGTTTTAGGCCCACACTTCATTCCCATGCAGTCCTTAATATGGGCTTTTAAAGTAATTTATTTGGAAAAATCTTTATTATTACTCCTATAATTCATTTTATTTTATCAGAATAATATTCATAGTAAAAACTTTAAGCCTTAATGTAATGTTTAAGATAAAGTTCTCTAATCCCCCCCACCCAATATTCCACTTTCCTCGATCTAGTAAAGTTCTCTAATCCCCGCACCCAATATTCCACTTTCCTCGATCTATGTTTTCATTATATAGTAAGAAACATAAATAATTCAATAGTAACCCAATGTTATCTACCATTAAAAAAAAATCTGTGCGTGTAAAGTTGTCTGTGAGAATGAAGAAAATTAATCAATGGATCACAGACACTGGTTATTTAAATCAATCCTTGCCATATACGCTACTCAATGGTAAGTATGACTTTACTTATTTAAACTCCACTTTGTGATTTAAAAGTATAAAACCTGAAGTTTCAAGTGTCGAGTTCAGAGTTGCATTTTAATTAGCAACTAAGAATCTTCTGCAATATACACAAAATCTCATCCGCTTAATGTGGGGCCACTGATTAGCGCTCTAAAGCACAGTGGTAACTATATGTACCAGATTCTTTAACATTCACTAACTCTTCATTAATCCCACAGACTGTATTGATGAATTTATATGATTCACAAAATTAAGATAGATCATTTCCTTAAACAGCATCAACGAATTGAATTTTGTAATGGAGACGAGCTGTGCTCTCCTTGAGGAAAGAACTGAGTTTTAAATGTTATTTGGATAAATTACACACTTAAAAAAATAATATTTACATGCATCCAAAAATTTTTGTCCTCCCCAACTTACGTATATGCTAGTAAAACAAGTTATAATCAAGTTAATTGGAGCAAACTTAAGACATTTTGCAACTTTTCTATCTAAGTCATGACTATAAATAGGTCCAATAGTTAAAAAACACAGGCCTAATAATGTACAGAAAATTATCGAGTTATTAAAAGTTTTACAAGATTAACTCCAATGGTACAATACGTGTCGTTTCGATTGTACTCAGATACACAAACTTATTAAAAATGTATTAAATACATTTATGCATAAGACTGAAGAACTGAGGTTATGGGGGGATTATACCAGCTTGAAAACCAAGATACAGCCCAAGTATTGAAACTTTAAGATGGAGTTGTGTGGCTTCCCATTCGTTTCAAAAACTCTGCATTGTCTTCGACTCATTTATATAGCATTCACGGAATCTGCAGTGCGTTTACCTGCCACTGATAACAAAATAAATGCACAGGAATTATTTCCTGAATTCAGAGTTGACAGGAGCATCTCTGGTGAGTCAATACAGACGCCTGCAGTAGCCAAAATTTCCATCACCACCTCCTTCTAGCAAAGTACGGCTAGCAAGCAATTTCATTCCTTGAACAAATACTGACCTACCGAGCTATCGAAACTGGTCTAGTTCGAGGATCTCAAGAGCAGCAAGTGAAATTCATCAGCTCACCGCATGGTTTACATTGCTATTACGTGCGCATGCGCACGAAAACGACAAATCGATCCGGCTTTCTAAACCCCTCAACAGATGTCGCGATCATCCTATATAGTCCAGTTTTTCAACATTTTTTTTCTCGTTTCCCTTTTTCGTACGCAGCTCCATCCTGCAATTTTAAATATTCCAATCCCCTTATCGTTTCAAGAGCATGACGTTGCAACTCCACACAGCGTTCAACGACAGCATTCAAATGGATTTTGTTAATACACTATGAAAACTTTCGTTTGCAGATTCATTCCGTGTTAAACGTTGAACCAGCGTTTCAGTACAGGCAGTTTAGTTTTCTGTTGCGATGTCCGTTGAGGGAAACTGCATGTTCGTAATTGCACTGGACGAGAAGAATGTAACAGCGCTAGGAGAGAGTGAGAGAGAGAGAGAGAAAATGAGAGGGGGGGACAGAGAGAAAGAAAGAAATAACGGAAATCCGTCGACAGAAAACCAGGAAGGAAACTAAACTTGGGCTGTAATCAAACCAAGAGGCAGTTATTTATTAAAATAAAAATTGCATTAAAAATAAAGTAAACGTATCTAAAAATACGTCATTATTAACGTCCATCGGCATTTGGCCGCGAAAATAAATAAGTAGGTAATGGGGTTAATTAATCAGATTCTTAAGTGATTAATTTACTTCGGATTATCGCAGTGAATACGATGTCCAACCGCTAGGACGTTCACCCTTTCGTATGTCGACGTCGGCTGCAAATGTCGCTCGCATTATGGACGCGGGTCAGCACTTTCAGGATACTGTTTGTATGTATTCACTTTACGAATTCATATTGAGGAAAGAATTGTCCCTTACGAATGTCGGCCGATTATTTAAATGGAATTACAAGAGCTGTTACATTTATAATATTGGCGACTGTCTTAAGCAAGCGGTAAATGGTAATTACTCCGAATTATTAACTTTGTGGCAGTGGTTCGTTTTAAAAATCATTAATAGCTACTTACTTAGAACATGCAACTATGTTTAAAATCGTATATAGCAACATCTAATGCGACTTGGAATACTGAAGGCAATGGTATTTGATCGGTAATTGACACTTCATAAAACGCGGTCTATGCTTTAACATCCACATGTTCATTGACTTTATTCTTTTCGGACCGCTTTAGCTATAGTAACGGAATAGTCCTTATTTTTAACATAGTCATTAATGAAAAAACTATTGATTCTTCTTTGTGCTGATCTCTGCAAAGTTCTTTATATCACTCTGTAATTTTTTTCAATTTGAGAACTGTTTCGAAAATCTACCATTAAACACATTAAGATACCAGAATTTTACAAGATATTCACTACAAGATCATTAAAAACTTCTACAGATATTGTATTGGTATTTAACACACCAATTGTAACTGTATTTTATCTTGTACCACAAATCACTGATCTCAGAAATCACATACTTGGCATGGATTTTTGATCTGTCGAAAAAATATGTTAGTAAGTAAATGAGGAAGTTACTAGTCCTTTTTTATAGCCATTAGTAGAGTAATTAAATGGAATCACTATTATGCACGTCACAGTGGTAATACGATCTAAAACACGTTCAATATTAGAATGCCCGTTCACGAATATGAACTCGCTTTGGGGAATGCAAACATGGTGAGATTTCAGGTTCTCATGGCTGTGAGTATGAGGATTACGGTCTTCTGGGTTGTTGTACCACGAGTTTAAGACATGCTTGCTATCTCCATCATCAGTCATCTTCAAAGTGAAGCCCACGTTTTCCCGTGTTATGCTGTTCTGTGTACCCGGAGAACTTGCTTTGAAAAATATTCCTTCAAAGGCACCACTACATCGGATTCATTGTTTCAGAACTAATTTTGAACGTAAAGAGACTAGTCTGTTTAATCCGTGGAATCGTGTGGATTTACAACGCACTGGGTAGCCATATCGGACAGAATAAAAACAGGAACATTATAACCGAACGTCACCTTCAGTAATCCTGTTTCGTATTTGGGAGATTCCGGGTACATATCTTGGTCGTAATTGACGTTTCCGTGATGTACGTACTCCTTCTAGCCTAATGAAGGGATGGTACCTCAAATTAAACTAAGGTCACTTTTTTCTACAACGTTTCAAATTCATCATTCTTATCCTGTCATACGACGACATACAATCTGAGCTGCTGATAGTGTCGTTATGTAAACGAATGTTAAAAAGAAGACTTTTCGAAGCAACTGATATAGATCTGAGATAACAGAACAATATTAAATGTGACATAAAAGATAAAGCTTTTGATGAATAGAGTATTTATTAAGAAGGTGTCCTATACACATGGCGCGTGTGGCAGAAGGAATTGTGACGTGCTAATAACTACGTTCTGCAAGATAACAGCAAAACTCAAACGTGCATATTGAATTAATAAATAGCAATAATATTCTTTTCGCTGTTTAGTATCAATATCTACCGCATAAAATATAACAGAATATATTCTGTGAGTTTAATAATTTAAATGATTCGAAGTCGTGTTTTAACGAAGGACTAAATTAAGAAAAGAACAAATCTTATTTGAAGCGCGTTAAACTCAATCAAGATCTCCTTTTATTGTTCCATCACTTAAACAAGCCAAGCACTAATTTTCGTAAGGAACGACCTACTGAGATAAGATTATGTACTAGCCCCCTTACGCATGGCGGGCGTTAAAATTGTCTGATTAAAATTTAAGTGGTTTATAAAATTCTTCAGCGCCATATTTATCCAAAGTAGTTTATCTGTTCTCGAGTTTTCATGCACATGGAGATACAGACTGATCGATTCTAACAGGCACTCCGCGGGGTTGCGAACGGAACGAAAAATGGCACACAATGGGTTCCAACGACAGGTTCTGCATTAGTGGCGCTCTTCCTTTGAGTTCTGAAGCCAGGAGTTAATTAATCAGCCAATCGACTAATTAGTCGGTAAATTAGTGGGGCACTTACTTAGTTAATTACAGAATGTTTCAAAAACCGATACCGTAAATTTAAGAAAAAATTTTGATGGAAAACTTAGACATGAAATTGATTTATGTAGTGTTCTGGCATTAGCTACACTTCATTACTCGGCCACAACATCACGTTTTCCTCATGAACTTTACTGAGAATTTTGTGAAAAGTTTTTTTCCTGCCAATTTATACTGGACTACAGAGCGCAACATACAAGAAGACACTGATCTTCGTATTCGCAGCCATGTGAACCTCAAATCTCACGTAACATAATACGATCGCCTACCTTTAAAATTACTGAATGGTTTTCTAAATCATTCAAAACATATCATATGGGAGCCATGACAGCTGAACGTTGTATGGTGCATAGACTTTGGGCTGTATGACTTGGGTGCGATTCCCAGGACAGCAGCATTTTTTCTTCGCCACAACGTCTAGACTGGCAGTAAGGACAACTCAGTCTTACGTCCAATGAGTGTCGGTGTCATTTCGGGGATAATGCAGCCAGGACGTGAAGCTAATCAGTCGTCTCCATTTAGCGCAAAGGACAACAATACGCGGAGCTATATCTTCTCTATCCGACACGTCCGTGAGGCGTCATATTTTCTTAAGAACGAGAAGTCTTGAGAAGCTTGTAGTCGGTCACCTAGTTAACATATTCCACGCCTCTTCTAAAATCCGAAGGTCCAGTGTTATATACATTACAGTAGAC